GTTTTTGTTTTTAAATCAACTTTCTTTAAATTCTAAAACCTATACTCGTAGAAATGGAAAAATCCAGTTTGGTGCAGGGTGGTGTGGTACTTGCCAGTGACTTGGGAGCTGTCTTTGGCTCAGCGGGGAGCCTGTTCTTGAGATTCCAGCTCTCAGCTGGAGGCTCACTCACATACTTGCTGCGCTCAGCCTCCAGCTCCAGCTCTCCCACAGCTGAGACTCCCGGAGGCCAGCAGCTGGCCAGGGCATGTGTATCAGATAGAGCAGACCCCACGTCAACCTTCCTAGACATGGTTCCCTGGATGGCTGAGGTCCTACTCTGGCGTGGCGTCCCAGGTCAGCCTCACAGCACCCAATGGGGCCTTCCTAGTTCCCCTCTCTGAGAGTTTTCCGGTTGTGCTTCAGATCTCAGCTATTTACTGGGATCCAGACCCGTGTTGCCTTTGTTGTTTATTCACCCATATTCAGTTTTTGTCATGCCTGACAGGACATCAGCATCTTTATACCACAGATGTGTTGCTGAGCCACTGGCAGGTGGGCAAGGGATTTCAAATTTAAAATGAAAAGCCTGGGTGGTTCAGTCCGTTAAGCATCTGACTTCAGCTCAGGTCATGATCTCACGGTTTGTGAGTTTGTGAGTTTGAGCCCCATGTTGGGCTCTGTGCTAACAGCTGGGAGCCTGGAGCCTGCTTTGGATTCTGTGTCTCTCTTTCTGTCCGCCCCTCCCCTGCTTGTGCTGTCCGTCAAAAATAAACACACATTAAAAAAAAAAAATTATAAGATGAAAAGCCCAAATGACTGTAAAATGTGATTCCTGAGCAGTTGGAGACCTAGTTTTTCCTTCTGTTTGTTGATTTTTCTGCATTTGTTACATGCTGTGATTCAGCCCCTCTTTCATGCATTTAACAGGTATTAATTAAGTCCCTACTTTGTTCTGTGCTCTGGGGATATGTATTCTCGTTCTCTCTGGGCTTGGGGAGATTTTGAGATGTTGGACTTTAGTTTCTCTGTATACAACAAATTTGATGAGTTGATCTGTACCCAAAGCTATGAGGGTCAGTCAGCATTTATTGAAGGTGATTGTTAGTGATTAGGGTCGATTACGTAACTTTCGTGGGATATATGTCCCATGTGACCGCATCACTGGCTGGCTGGTTCTCAAAAAGTATTTGTAGTGTTTTCCAACCATGTAATTCTTTTAGAATGGAGAGAATGGATTTATGTGGAATCAGAGCTCATACTGAAATGCCATCCAAGCAGTAATGCTGTATTGGATTAATTCAGCAAAATTTTTAACTTACAGTGTTTTCTAAAATCCATTTGTCCCCACAGACCAGTCCATTCCAGCCCTTGCTGTTCTGCAGATATTCTGATGAGGGTGTTGTAAAGGAGTAGGCTTTGTCAGCATTCCTAATGAAGTATTTGAAGTAGAGGATGTTGGCTTTCCGTCAGGAGGGGGAGCACAGTTCTAGAGCACATCGCTTGTTGGAGAGCACAATGAGCTTAATATAGAAGGTTCTCTTGCCTGATTAGCCAAGATGAGAGCTGGCCCCTGCTTGTTCCTATGCCACGCAATCAAGACTGTTCCAGGGAACATGCTGCATCTTCTGTGATGTGCTTTGGCAAACTGTCGTTCAGTTCAGTTCCAAAAGAATGCCTATTTGTGTTCCTGAACGCCACACAATACGTGTGGAGACCCTGGCAAACCCTAGAGGGAGAGAAGCCAGCCACAGTGGAGAAATCTGTTCTCTGTTGGAGGCCCGTCGTCTGCTCTGAAATTACTAGCTTTGTTTCTCCGTGAATCGTATGAATTTGGATAAGTAAAATATCTTCGTATCGTTTTATTTTTTTAATTATTTATCTTTGAGAGAGCATAAGCGAGGGAGGGGCAGACAGAGGATCTGAAGCGGGCTCTGTGCTCCCTGCTGACAGCAGCGAGCCTGATGTGGGGCTCAAACCCACGGAACGTGAGATCATGGCCTGAGCTGAAGTCGGATGCTCAACCAGCTGAGCCACCCAGGTGCCCCTCTTTTTATCATTTTTAGTGAAGCTTAGAAGTTATCTTTAAGGTAGCATGCTTTTGAATGTAGCTAGGTGAAGGTGGATGATGATATCTTTGCTGTAGCTGGAGAAGCCTTTTGAAACTCGAACATTTTATAATCCTCTGTTCCAGGAAAATTTGAGGGTATCTCCCAGGGGCTGACCGCTCAGTGGTAGGCATGGTATGCCAGGGACTAGTGATGCAGATGCACGGTTCTTGCATTCTTTGGTACCTAAAAAAATAGGGCTATTGAATCACACTTAGTTGACTGTAATAAAGCTTATCTGGTGTGCTGGCAGATGGTGTGGGAATTTAGGTGAAGTTTTTTTTGTTTTGTTTTGTTTTTTAAATATTTATTTATTTATTTTGAGAGAGAGAGAGAGAGACAGAGAGAGAGACAGAGAGAATGAATGAATATCCCAGGCAGGCAGCGTGCTGTCAGCACAGAGCCCAGTGTGGAGCTTGATCTCATGAACGGTGAGATCATGACCTGAGCCGAAATCAAGAGTCCGACACTTAACCAACTGAGCCACCCAGGTGCCCCTGATGAAGTTTTAAGAAAGTCTTGGGATATTTGAGCTGGGGCCTGGAAGATGATATGATTTCAGTAGGTAGCAGATGAGGAGGGAAGGACATTATAGACGGAGACAGTTCGATGCCAGGAAGCATGCGTGCAAGGGAGCCCAGTAGGTTTGGTGTACGGTGTGGGTGATGAAGCAGGGAAGTGGGGGTGGGGGGGCAGCCTACAGAGGTCCTTATCAGTCAGCCTGGGTATTATCCTTCCGACAGAGCCTTCGGAGGATGTCTGGCAAGGAACTAATACAAGGAGACTTGATGTTAGGAAGATAACTGCTGGCAGTTAGGATGATGGGTTTGGAGAGAGGTGAGGCTGGAGGCGGGAAGCAGGGTAGAAATGTGTGTGGTAATCCAGGAGAAAGCTCATGGGGGGTGGGAGAGTAGCCATGGGTATGGTGGGTGCAGGAGATACTTCAAGGATAGCGTCCGGGTGCCTGGGGGGCTCAGTCGGTTAAGCGTCCGATTCTTGATTTCGGCTCAGGTCATGATCTCATGGGTTCATGAGATCGAGCCCCACGTCAGGCTCTGTGCTGCCAGCATGGAGCCTGCTTGAGATTCTCTCTCCCTCTTTTTCTGCCCCTCCCCGCTCACGCACGCACGTGTGTACTCTCTCTCTCTCTCAAATAAATAAACATAAAAAGGTAGCATCCAGGGATCTTGGTGCCATGTAGGGGCAGTGGTGACAGGAGTGGCAGTTGCTGATAATAGAACGTGTGACGTGTGCCAGACCATGAGCACTTCTGCAGGTGTGGTCTTGATGAGTCTTCGCGGTTGGGTAAGTACTATCGTATTTCCACTTGACAGATGAGGCAGCTGGGGCGCAGGGGTGAAGGAGTCTGCCCGAGGCTGCTTAGCCGGAGGTAGTGCCGCCCATCTTCAGACCCAAGCAGTCCGGTTGCAGGTTCACTCTGGTCACACAGAGGCCATCCTGAAAGGCGGTGGGTGGAGGCAGCCTTGGGGTTGAGCACCTTGTCTTTAAAGTCTCAGTGGGACTTCAGGTGGAACTTGCCGGGATCCAGCCACGGAAGGACCTGGAATCGCATGGGGAGTGAGAGAAGAAGGATGCCCGGGTCCACTGATTAGGGGCCCTGGGGTGGAGGAAAAGCTGGGGGAAGAGACTGAGGAAGAGCAGTTAGAAGAGAGCAGCAGCAGCAGCGGGGGTGGGGGTGGGGGGGGGGACGGGAGACATGTCAGGCGGCGGGTGGTAGGCTCCACCTGGGAGGGCACAGGAGCGTGAAAGGGCCGGGGAAGAGGTGAAGGGGTGGGATGGAGGTAGGTGGGCAGTGGGCTTTCTGCAGTGCAGGAGGCCATCTGCCGAGGACCGCGAGTGGTGGCCAGAGGGGCCGAGGAGAAGTGCTGGGAGAGGCTGAAGACCCTGCCCCGGGGGACGCACAGGGAAGCTCAAGAGGACAACAGGCCCGCCCGTGGCGGCCTGCGGCTTTCTCACTTCTGCCCACCAGGAGCGCGTTTCCCTCACCTACCGTCGTGTGGAAAACCACTCCACACTTAGCAGCGTGAAATGATGACCATTGTGTCGTGCTTCCAAGTTTGACGGGTCAGGGGTCCAGAGAGAGCGTAGCAGGGATCTCTGCTCCGTGACGCCCACCTGGGGCCTCCGCTGCGAAGGCTTGGATAGCTGGGAACTGGGACCCCAGAGGGTTTTTCACGTCACTGGCACCTGGGCTAGGGATGTGCTGTGTCAGCGGGAGGGTGGACCTGAGCACCTACACGTGGCCTGAACGTGTGCCTTGGGCTTTTCAGCATGGCAGCTGGCTTCCAGGAGGGAGCTCCCCAAGGGAGAGCAGCCAGAGCACGAATGCTTCAAGAGGTCAAGGGGAAGGAGGCTGTGTGGCCTTTTATGACATCGCATTGGAATGCACGTGACACTGCTTCCACCATACCGTGTTGGTTGGAGCCTCACGGGTCCCTAATAAGATTCAAGGGGAGGAAATAGAACCCACCTCTTCATGGGGAGTGTCGAAGTCCCATTAAGGAAGAGCATGTGGGATGGAAAATACTGTGAGCGTCTTCGAGAAGTACGGTCTACCGCGGAGCAGAAGTGGAAAGAGCACCGGGTGGTGACCTTTAGGCTTCGAGAGTGGCCGCTGGAGCAGCAGAGCAGATAGAGTAGGGGTGGGGGTGGCAGTTGGGATCGGGCTCCAGGTGGGTGGAGGGAGGTGTGCGTGCACAGGGGAGCTCGTCACTGGGAGGTCAGAGAGGTCAGAGGAGTGGAGGTTGGGATGGAGTAGAGGACGACGGAGGTGTGGGGAGTAGAGCGGGAGGTAGGTGAGAGCTCCCTGGAGCTCATTCACTCGTTATTTGGGGGCCGGGGTCCATAGGTTTTGCCTGTAGTTATTTTATTTTATTTATTTATTTTTTTTTTTAATTTTTTTTTTCAACGTTTATTTATTTTTGGGACAGAGAGAGACAGAGCATGAACGGGGGAGGGGCAGAGAGAGAGGGAGACACAGAATCGGAAACAGGCTCCAGGCTCCGAGCCATCAGCCCAGAGCCTGACGCGGGGCTCGAACTCACGGACCGCGAGATCGTGACCTGGCTGAAGTCGGACGCTTAACCGACTGCGCCACCCAGGCGCCCCGCCTGTAGTTATTTTAAATACACAGGTGCCATCTGTGTGTCTCCAGCCTGGTATAACAGTTATTTAAGGGGCCAAAGTGAGTGCCTGGCTAAAAGAGAAGGATGAACTAACTGTTCTCGGCCCACCGCCGCCCTAGGGTCGTGCCCTGCTTACAGAGGAGGACGAGGCCTCAGACTGCGCCGCTGTGACCTTAAGTAAATCTTTGCCATTCAGAGCGGGATCCATGTGATCTCAAAGCCTCATCTCTTTTCTGCAACAGGCCACTGCTCCTGGTGGCTCATCATCCACAAGCCACCCAGTGAGAGGGAATTTTCACGATCTGTATCTGACCCTCTGTTGGGACCCCTGAGCTTAGTGCCGAGCCGGAACAGGCACAGGTGCTCCCGGGGTTGGGGCTCCTTTCTGGAAGATGAGAGTCTTGCAGATTCGAGACCGCAGACCTGCGGGGGGAGCGTTCCTTCACACACGCTCTGCAGCCCCCACTGGGGCAGAGAAGCCTGTCTGTCATTCACTCCGCTGGCCTTGCTGCTGCATGTAAAATCTTGGGTTCTCATTCATTCACCATGACCACAGGTAGATGTTTTCCGTACTCCTCGAGCCCGGCTGTCCTGTCACACTCAGATTCATGATGTATGGAATTTCAGCTGGAGGCAGAGCGAGGACTTTGGAGTGAGCCATCTGTCTTAGGCCAAGTTTCCCCCACTTCCTAGTGTCACGTGATCCTGGGCAAGTGTTTTCACCTGCTGAGCCCGTTTCCCCACCCGGGAAGGGTAGTAGTAGTCGTCTCTGCAGGGGGATCGTGCAAGGAGCAGGTTCCTTGCTCCCGGATTGGATGCAGTATTCGGATGGCTCTTGCCTCCTTCACTGAGGGTGAGGTGCTTAGATTCTTGCCTCCCAGCCCACCCTCTTTCCTCCTTAAATCACCTATTTCCAAACCAGTCCCTCTCTTCCTGTTCTCTAATCTCAAGGGAAGAAGTGTCCTAGAAGTGTCCTCATCCTTTCCAAGGTTTACCCTCCCCTTAAATATGGTAGAATCATCTATATTGAATAGAACTTAGGATTCATTGTACCTCGTTCTAGAAGCTATATATGCACGTGACTGTTCTGGTATGTGTTTGCTCGATGAGTGTTGAAGAGTGTTGTTTAAGAGTGAATTTGGATGCTAGTGTACGTTTGAGTATATGTGGCCGTGTTCTAGAGAAGTATGTGTACGTGTTGTGAGTTACGTCGCTAGTTTACATACGTTGCAGACTCCAAGGGTAAGGACAGGCTCACAGGACACTTACTCAACGCAGGGACCTCCCCTCAGGCATGCCAGGCGGGCAGTATTGAGTCAGCGTGCACCCTCCCAAGACACCTTGTGAGACAGTCCTTTCTATAGCAGCTGTCACTGTTAGAACCCTTTTTCGAGGAAGGCGACACAGCATTTTTCCTGTAACTTCTCCCCCTTGAGTCCAGAGGTAAAACTCCTCTGCCTTTCACATGGCAGAACCACAGATGGCTAGAGATGTCATCTAGAACCGCACTACCGCTGTCCAGATTCCTTGTCCAGGTCCAAGTTACAGTGGGCCCTGAACCTTCTATTGGGAGCGGTGCCAGCGTGCGTAGGCTCCACCCAGGTTCCCTGTGGCTGAAGAGGAAAGCCTGTTGTGTGGGACGCCACAGTTCCGAAGCTGTCACCTCGGGGGCTCTTAGTCATGTCTCCAGCCCAGTGGACTGGCTGTTAAGGGACTGGCTGTTAAGCCCATTAGTGTTGGCAGTCGTATTTATTAAGCAGATAAGAGATTTATTTAATTTTGCTGGTGTCTGGGCCACTTTGTGGGACGCCAGCTCTTGCACCCTGGCCCCCCGAACTGTGCGTGTGGTGTGTGCCTGCCCTCCCCTGGGTCCCGTTTGAGCAGCCCCACCGCAGGGCTTCAGAGAGAAGGTGGGGTCGGGGGCTGTTGAGGTTTGTGTGAGGTAGGGGACAGGAGCAAAGCCTGTTCCTGGCTTTTTAGGGTTTTAATCCTTGTGTTCACTTGTCTTCCTCTTTTTTTTTTTTTTTTTTAACAGTCTAGAAAATTTTCATCATTTTTATATTAACTTTTAGGACATGGAGCGAAACACCAATTCTTGTCCGTGACGGTGAACTGGTAGAGTGAAGGCCTGAAGTTACAGGTGCTGTTTCGTCCTGTTTGTTCTGTCCTTAGACCCCTGACCTGGAGCAGCTCGAGCCGACTCTGGAAGACGTGGAAAGCATCAATGATTTTGAACCCTTGTTTTCGGAGGAAACCCCTGAGGTGGAGAAGCCAGTCGCCACTGTCCAGGTTGGGCTCCGATAACCTGCACCATGTTTCTGCTTTGAAACTGTTGACATAAATGACCAGTCTGGTCTAGTCTGCTTGTTTAGGAATGTTTAAAAAAAAAAAAAATTCCTGTTGTATTTTCTAGGAAGGCGGGAGGTGGGGGTACTAATGCTTACAACTTCTGCAGTCAAAACTTTTCCTGCTGGTTAATGGGGTTCCCGCACTAAGATCTGTGAACCTGTGGGAAACAGTCTGCTTGGCAGAAACATTTAGGCAAGTAATTGAGAAGTTTAGACTTAAAGACTAGCTTTAGTGGTTTCATTTATTTTATTTTTGTTTTAAAGTCTATTTATTTTGAGAGAGAGAGAGAGAGAGAGCGAGCATGAGTAGGGGAGGGGCAGAGAGAGGGGGAGAGAGAGAGAGAGAAAGAAAGAAAGAATCCCCAGCAGGCCCCGCGCTGTTAGCACACAGCCTGACACAGGGCTCGAACTCATGAACCTCGAGATCATGACCTGAGCCGAAACCAAGGGTCAGACGCTTAACCACTTAACGACTGAGTCATCCAGGTGCCCTATGGTTTCACATACATTTAAGCCAGCGTCATTGTGCTTAATCCTCATTTGGGCCTACGTTTCTGTCATTGCAATGGCAACCAGACAGACTGACCCGAGTCTGGGGCTCACCTGGGAGAAAACTTCCCGCTGCTGCTCTTCTTGAGGTCTCTTTTCTTGCAACGCAGGGACCATTTCATGATGCAAAGTTGTAGGTATTTGTGATTCAGAAGTGGAAGAAAGGTAGAAAATGGAATTAGTGTATCAGGAGAGCTGGGGAGAGGTTGTTCTGGCACGAACAAAGGACAGAAGCTATGTTGGAATAAGAAGTGCGGTTTGAGGGAACTGGCAACTGGAATGTTTGTCACTGTGGCCTAAAAATATCTTCTAAACCTTGGGTTTTTAAAGCCCGTGTTTAACTTGGCAGCCTATCATCAGCTGTTTGTTGGGACAGAAAGAATTCGGGCTCCAGAAATTATCTTCCAGCCGTCTCTCATCGGGGAAGAGCAGGCGGGGGTCGCAGAGACCCTTCAGTACATCCTGGACAGGTGAGGCTGGTCCTTCTTTGCCTTAGATTTACCGGAACCGTTTCCTTGGATTTTGCACTGAATGATAGATGAGATGGGTCGGGCATTTGAAAATGTGCCTCATGTCCTCCTTTTCATTGACTTGCTGTGCTCAGATGGTATTCTTTCTCTCTCCCCAGCCCTGGCACAGAGGAAGGACTCTGTAATTCTTTTCTGAACATGTAAAATGCTCAGTTGATTTGAGGAGCTTTAAGAAATTCTTTTATGTTTCAGCAACAATAACATATGTGCGTTGGTTTTCGTATAAACCTTGACGTTATTGAAGATGAGCGATTTTTAAGTGCCCTAAATATGTGCAGAGCCTATAAAAGTTTTTTCCTCCTTGCAGACATTGTATTTAAGAGTTTGCAGTTCTGTAAAATGCTCCTCCCTATCCCATTTCTACAGGCATTTTCCTGCAGTGCGAGTTTTCATAGTTCAAGCTGGACAAGCCGAGAGCATGATTTGTAGTACTCTGGCCACCCTTGGTTGAAAGAGGGTGAAAACTGTCACCTGGCAAGGAAGGAAACTATGGCAGCCACTTTGTTGGAGTGGCTTTAAGCTTTGTCGTAATAAGAAAGTGCTCGAACATGTATAAGATGAAGCTATTATATTTTTTATTTTTTTTTAAATAAGCACATAGGTAGAAAGATGGGCTTTTTGGGGTGATGGAACTGTTCTGTATCTTGTGATAGTTACTAGGATGTATAGATTTATCAGACCTCGTCGAAACGTTTGTAAATCAGTCCTCCATAAAGTCACTTTTTAAAAAACGTGTCAAGGCACAAAACTTCTAATCCTGCTAAGGAAATGAATTCTATAAAGTCGTAAGTGAAAAATGCCGGGTGTTTTTTTGTTTCTTTAAACACTTTCTGTGCGGATGTTTTCTTTTTTGTGCCAAGGGTTTATATTTCTACGTCTGCATTCTCCCCTGAGCTTCAAGTTGGTAGGAGTATACCGGAAGGAACTGTCTCTCTCCTAGGTACTCCAAGGACGTTCAGGACATGCTGGTTCAGAATGTTTTCCTCACCGGTGGGAACATGATGTACCCTGGGATAAAAGGTAGAATCGAGAAGGAGCTGTTGGAGATGAGGCCCTTTCAGTCTTCTTTTAAGGTACTGGTTGTTTATGTAACCGGCTGTTTCGTAAATAGCATTAGTGTTTTCTGATAGCAGAAGTAATAAACAGTAGTTTAGAGGAGAAAAATTACTTTCTAATTCCATCATCCACAAATATCCACTGTTAACATTTTTGTGGCTTTCCTTCTGGTCTTTGATATACGTTGAATTGTTAAAGCAGAATGGGAATCATGTTTTTAATATTTCTCTCTTTTTTTTTTAACTGAAAAAAGACATACAATCTAATAAAATTCAGAGAATACAGTCAGTACCCACTAAGAATAGTCATTCTCTTCACCCATCCCTTATTCTACAGGCAAAGCTTCTCTTTCACAGATTCTCTATACTTGAGGGTAACCTGTCTTGTAACCTACGTTTCTTTAACCCACCATGAGCGTTTCCTGACGTCATTCTTCCAAAGTACTATTTTTTTAAATTTCTATTCTATGGTGTGGATGTCCCATAACGTATCTAGTGAATCTCTGATCGTTGAGAAACATGGTCTGAGCCCCCATGGAGGACCAGGCACCTTGCAGATGCCGACATGTCCTAGACACGGCCCTTAGCTGCAAGGAACTTGCTACCAGAGGGACAGAAGCTGACTAAATAGGCCATGATAGCCCAGAACATGATGGACGTTCAGGCATGGGCACCTGTCAGTCTTGGAGGTCAGGAAAGGCTCCATGGAAATGAGTTCTTCCTAGGATGAGGAGGTGTTCTCCATATAGACACTGGAGAGGGGTGGGATGGAGGGAGCATTGCAGACCGCGATCAGCATGAGCAAAGGCTCAGGGGCCCGAGGCCGGCTGAGGGCGTAAGCTGCAGCTGAGTGTGGCTGGAGCATTGGGCTGCTAAAGAGGAGTGGAGAGGGGTGTGGTGGAGAGCCATGCAGAGCCCACGCGTCCTGCTGAGAGGTGGCCTTGGTCCCCTGTGCTGCATGATGTATTACACAGTCACGGCGTGGGTTTTGGGCTTTGGTCCCTACTCCATCATCTCCATTACTGAATTTTGCCACGCCTTTGTTTTCTCCCTGGTACAAAGAGGTAATCCTACCTCCTGTTAGCAGGATTCAGTGTGCTGGTGCAGGTCAAGTGCTCAGCATAGGGCCTGCACAAAACGAACACTTAGACCTTAACTGTTGTAGGGGGCAGCGGGGTAGGGGAGGGCTCCCTGGGATCATTCCAGGTTCCATGATTGGCTAGGGCTCACAGGAATCCACATATAATCATACTCCTGGCTATGACTGGAAAGGAAACAAAGCAAAATCAGTAAGGAGAAAAGATGCACGGGAGGGAAGTGCAGGGGAACGAACGCAGGTGCAAGCTCCCAGAGTCCTCACCCGGTGAAGTCGCACAGGGCACATTGAATTCTCCCCAGCAACGGGCTGTGACAACTTACGTGGAATGTCACCAACCAGTGAAGTTCGTGAGAGACTCAGTGTCCAAGGTTTTCACCGGGGGCTGATCGTGTAGGCACCCCCGCGGGGCACGTACCCAAATTTCCAGACTCACAGAAGGAAGCAGGTGTTCAGCATAAAGCTCATTCAGACATCGGGAGCACTGAGCTGCTTTCACGAGTCTCCTGAAATCCAGGTCCCCAGGTGCCAGCCAGGGGCGGCCTCGTAAGCAGTCAGGCCTGTGGGTCAACTTTCCTGCATAGCTGTTGTTACTGTTAGGCCACATGGGACCGAGAAGGAGTCTAAGCATGGGAATTGTTTCCTTCGGTTTGAATTTAGGAACATACTTTTGACTGATGTGGAAAATGGGAGAATCAGGAGAAATATCGGAAGCAGGGGAACAGTTAGGCAGCAACTCCTGGGCTTTACGGTGGAGTCCTCACTCCTCACCACAGTCTGCAGTGTCTCCTGTGATCTGACCTTGAATCACTCTCCCTGCCACCCTCTACTTTGTTCCCCAGTAAGCCATGTTTTCTTGCCTCAGGGCATTTGCACTTGCTCAGTCCCTTTGCCTGGAACACTCTTTCCATCTCAGTCCAGTGTCCCACGGCTGGCTTACATGTCACTTCCTCCAGAAGCCTTCCCTGTCCTTAACTGTACTCCTTACTAGGCCCACCTGCATTAGGGAAGAACAGTCTGTCCTGTGAACTGTCGTGTGCCGGGCCTTGGCTCGGTGTCATTGGTAGCTGTGCAGGAAACATGCAGCAGGCATCAGGAGAGAGCAGAGGGATGTTGATGTGGCAGAGGTGAGGGGGGTGAGCTGAGTAACAGGCCAGATTTGGGGAGAGAAGGGTGGGACCCAAGACAACCCCCAGGTTCTGAGTTGGGTAGCTGATGGGATACAGATGACCTCCGCTGGACTGGGGAATGGGAGAGGGAGAGCAGGCCAGAGGGTGGATAAGGAGTTCCACTCCTGCGGCAGGTAGAGTGGAGTTTCCGGGGGAATGTCCAGGAAGCAGTGACTCCTAGCCAGTTGCCGAGTGCTCGAGAGAGCGGCGGGAGGGTGGACGCAGAGCCCCTAGCGTAACCGTGTCTTTAGAGGGCGCTGTTGGGAGGCTGGGTGATGTCCATGGTTAGGCCTTACATGACACCAGCATTTAAGGGCCTCGGAAGGGTGGGGGTGCCCAGACCGTGGGGGTAATGGCGCAGAGGGTGGGTGTGGGTGTGCGCCAGTGGCCGTGACTTGTGATGACAGAACTGAGCACACGTCGTATTACTGGATTTTTAAGCTCTATATCTTGATCTTCGTGAAAGCCTTTCCCGTGAATTACTCTGTGAACATTCGTTGTAGGAATGCCGCCAGGACTCCCTTCCAGCTGTCCGTCAGCTGGTTCGGTCTCCTGTGGCACAACCCCATCTTCCGTCTCTTCCTCCTGTCCTGCTCCTTTGCAGCTGCTGATGTAACAAGTGTGCGTCATGTCAGAACTACCCCTGATCTTCAAAATTTAGGTTATGTATTCAGCAGTGGCTCAGACATGAACCATTTAAGACCCTAAATGTGTACTTTTGCATACTTTAAGTTTCTTTTGGTTCTTTCTCCTCCCTCCTCGTCCCTCCCCGTCCCTCCTCCTCCCTCCTCCTCCCTCTTCCCCCCTCTTCCCTTCTTTTCCCTTCTCTTCCCTTCTCTTCCTTCCTCCTCCCTTCTTTCTCTCACCTTCCTCCCTCTTTCCTCCCTCCTCCTTTCTTCTTTTGAGAGAGAAAGAGTGTGTAAAAGGAGGGGAGGGGGAGAGTGAGGGAATCTTAATTAGGCTCCGTGTCCATCGCCAGGCCCGACCTCACGACCCTGAGATTATGACCTGAGCTGAAATCAGGAGTCAGATGCTTAACTGACAGAGCCATCCGGGCGCCCCAGTTTTTTCTTATTTAACAGCAAAACATTTTAAATCCAACTGTAGTAGTGTTGTAAAAGTTACATGAACTTTTAAACATGTATGATTTTAACTAAAAAAAGAGAATGTCGATGGCTTATTTTGTGACCTGTATTTTTTTTTAACTTCTAAATTACTGTTTTGCTGTGTCAGTAGGTACACGTTCGAAGCCTCTTTTGTATGGCTGTATCGTATTCCATTGTTATATTCGTGTATCTGACTGCTTTTTCACTGGTAATAACAAAAGCCACCGGTTGTCACTCACTACTCAGCCGGTGCCAGGGGTGTCCCCCTGCTAGCGCTTGTCTCTCAGTGAGTTTCTGGCCAGAGCGCAGGGTCCTTGTTACCCGTGTTTATTCGCGGTCTCTTATCGCAAGTCCCTCCCACGGCAGCCCCGTCCATCAGCCTCCTGACTTTGGTGTTTATGTGCTTCATCCGCCTCCATCTGTGCCCGCCGATCGCACACCGTGTCACCTGCCTGTTACTTCAGAAAGTTCTGAACCCACCATCCTAACCCCGGGCTCCTGGGTTGGGGGAGGGAGGGGGGAAGGAGGCGGGAAGTCAGGTAGAGACTCCGGGAAGCAGGAAGCCCGATTCGAGCTACAGAGGCTGTTCCCCACTCTGGTCGGGTCAGCCTCGTCGAGGGGCCCCCACGGGGCCGCTGACCTCAGCCTCGCTGTGACACTAGGCCGCGGAAAGAGCACTGGCCGCGTCCTGGAGAACGTGCCAGGTGCTGCTCTTCGGTCTCCAATCCGAGGCTTGTCTGCCGCCGAGGCTAGAGCCGCCTCGCATCAGCCTCCGCTGCCCTCCGCTTGTGGACAGCGCGGGAGCAGGGGCGGGGCAGCTGGGCCCTCTCTGACCCAGCGCGGGCCTGGCGTTTGTAAAATAGTTGCCGACCGTGGATTGAGGTCGAGTCTGGTGTGCCCTGCGCTCCTGTGTGCTCTCTCGGAACGTCCGCGGCGTCTCGGCTCGGCCGTGTTTGGAGGGTGGGGGCCGTCCCGCGCGTGTGTTTCCGGGGATGCCACGGAGGGGGCTGCAGCCGCGCCTGTGCACCCTCACTCCTCAAGCCCTCTGCTGAGCGCTGTTTGTGTTTCAGGTTCAGCTTGCCTCCAACCCGGTGCTGGACGCTTGGTACGGCGCTCGGGACTGGGCCTTGGATCACCTGGAAGATGACGAGGTCTGGATCACCAGGAAGGAGTATGAAGAGAAGGGAGGAGAGTACCTCAAGGAGCACTGCGCGTCCAACATCTATGTCCCCATCCGCCTGCCCAAGCAGGCCTCACGCTTCTCAGACGCCCAGGCCCCCGGCAAAGGCTCGGGGGCCAGTGGAGGCGGCGCTGGCGAACAGGCTTAGCAGGGGCCCTCTGGGACCCGGGGCCGTGTCGGCCAGCATGATGGACGGTGGCTGTGCCAGCTGTTGTCCACTCTGAGCCCTCTGGTAGTGCTGGGGTGCAAGCACCGGGGAGAGCAGTGAAGGGACACTGGGAGTTACTCTTGGAACTGCATTCACTTGGGGCTCCTGCAACGAAGAGACTTTATGTGACCTTCTGGTGTCTTCGCTGAACCACGGATGAGCTGTGGCATCGGCTTTCCGCAGCAGTAAATGAAGACCGGGTGGAGGACAGGGATGTACAAAATGTAAAAATTGTATTTCTTCATTTCAAAAACATCTTTTTTTAAGAAAATCCCTAAAAAAAAAAAAATCCTTTAAAATTCATACTATCAGTGTAGATGTTCTTCTGACTTTATTCAGAATCGTGTGAACGCCCAGTAGGTGGAGGCCTTTCGCACATGTACAAAAAATGGTGATGTTGGTGTGACAAAAGCAGTCACCCACGAAATCTCAGGATCCTGGATTTAGGGTGGGCCCTCCATCCAGTGACTGGTGTCCTTGTATAAGAAATGACACAGGGGAGAAGGCCATGCGAAGACAGAGGCAGAGACTGGAGTAAGGTGGCCACAAGCCAGGGAACGCCAGAAGCCACCAGAAGCTGGAAGAGGCAAGGAAGGATTCTCCCCTTTCATAGGGAGTATGGCCCGGATGACCCCTTGATCTGGGTGTCACCGATGCAGAACTGGGAAAAGATAAATTTCTGTTGCTTTAGCCACCACGTTTGTGATCATTGGTTACAGAAACAGATGTCCAGGTTGAGTCTGGGAAGGAATCTGAAATATGGGTGGGAAGTTTTTAAGCCATAAGGAAGCAGATAAGTTGCCCACAAGATAGAGGATTCTTAGAAGGAATAGGGAGGAGGGTTTGGAAAGGGCACAAGACCAGAGCTGACGGTCCTGGAGAGGATCCCCTTCTGGGGATGAGGGAGGCCCCGAGGCAGCCCGAGGTGGTATAGGGGGAAGCACAGAAGGGGCTGGCGCTCCGAGACTTACTACAGCCAACAGAGGATCAGAGGAAGCTTGGCCACGCAGCCGTGCCGAGTACCGCAGAATGCCTCGCTGCAGCGCCTGGAGGGGGAGCCCCCGAGAGACTTGGAGACCTGCCCAGACCCTCTCCCTGCTCTGCTCCTTACCCGTATCCTCCAGCTGAGAGTTGCTCAGGTGAACCTAACACGCTCGACTGTGAACATTAGTAACACTGCAGCATCCTAACGGGGATCTGCGAGAAAAGACCAAATCCAGAAAATTCGAAGTCAAACTTGTTAGCAGAAAACACTGAGGGAAAAGAAGCCAGAGGAAAATTGCAGTGCGGCATTCTGACATGAATTAAATAATTAGGTAAGCACATATAGTCGGGAGGGTGCCACAACAGAAATGGAGAGCTTTGGGTAGAAATGACCAGACGGGTGTGAGATGGGAACCGACAGGACCCAGGAAAGGAACTGAATAAAACCGAAAAATGATCTCAGAAACCTAAATCCAAGATGCTCAAGGGGGGAGATACTCACCCGGAAAGAAAGAAAACGAAATAACCAAGTGAGAGAGAATTAAGAGAAAGTTACAGATAAGGCAAAGGAACCTGAATCAAGCGGAACATAGGTGAAGAAAATTTGTGTTGAATTTTATATTGTAAAGGAAGAAGAGAAACAGTGGAACGAAATTCATGTTTAAAGGGTAATTGAATAATACTTTACCCCTTAAGAGAAAACGTTCTGAATAGAAGTACTGCAGAGACATGCTGTGTACATGCTTGGGAAAACTGGCTCAGAAGTGCCAACTCTAAGAAAATCCTAGCCAAATAAGTCCTCTGGGCCTTCAGGCGAAAAGACAAAGTGATTTGCACTATAAAGGAAAATTAGGTGTCATCAGACTTTCTAAAGGCACTGTATAACACTAGGGAGTTGGCAAAAGAAATTGAATAATGATAAAATGAAAATGGTAAAATAAGCTTATTTGAAAAAAAACCACAATAACATTTAAGAAATACTACAAAACCCGCTAGCAAAAGACCAACAAAAATTTAGTGGAACGAATAAAGAACAAATACATGAAATAAGGAAATAATCCTAAAACAAGAAAAATCAGAACTGTGGGACAAGTCTTTGCAAATACATTTGAAAATATAGATAAAATCATCATATTTTAGGCAAATATCATTTACCAAGACTGACCCTGATAGAGATCTATAAAGTTTGGAAAGACCCATTTCCATACAGAAACTAAAGACCATTGTCACAGAGCTGCCCCCTCAAAAAGGCTCCTGATCCAGTTACGTTCACAGAATTCTATTAGCCTTTAAAGAACAGATCCTTCCAATGTTCCTTAAACTTTTCAGAGCATAGAAAACAAAAGAAATTCTCTACTACATTATTTTTAGGCATAACTTCTATCCAAATCTGATTGCGTGCACACACACACAGACCCACCATAGCCCAGCCTCCCTTAAAAATATCAGTGAAGTAAACACAAGTCAGTTATTTACAAACGGAATCCATCAGCACATGAAAGGATAATACATGGTGACCAAATGCAAGCGTAGCCACCAAATACCGAAAACCTCAGAGTCTTCACACAAGGTGTATTTCGTATGCTGTGTGTCCAGTGAATGTCAGCATGTGCGTGTGGGCTGGGGGTGGGGGGCATGCACTGTCCCACAGAATCGTTGCACGCCATCTTAGGATTCCGCCATCTCAACGCAAAGGAAGGAACCAGGAACATCAGGAGTCCGGTCCCGGCTCCGAAATGCTTCCACCAAGAACTGACATTATGTATGGCACACCTACTCAAGATTTCTTTCATTGGCCAGAGCACATAATTTAGCCCTGTGTGATTTAGCATTCCATTTTATCTCCTCTGACTAGTTATGTCTCTGTCATTTTTGAAAGGTGATCTAGAAGTTACAGTGTACATGCTTAGCTTATCATAGTCTGCCATTACTTAATTCTAGAACACTTCACCTACAGTGTAAGAATGTTGTCACATAGAACTCCATTTTTCACATTGGAGATTTGCTGTTGGTATCATGTGCTTTGCTATTCACTTATGGTGTAAACCCCATAACACGTTTTTAATTTTTTAAATTTAGTCGGTAGTCTTGGAGAAATCTAGAAAAATAGATTACCTGCATGTTGACTCTTACTGGTCAAGAAACTGATGGCGGGGGGGAGGCTTCCTTGGCTTCAGTACTTGCACATTCTTCTCAGGAAATGCCACAGGACGGGCGGAGGCTTCCTTCTGGAAGGAAGATTTTGGAAACCATCTAGAAGAAGTGTACTGGGATTCTCCCCATAGCCATTCTCCAACCTGGACAACAAGAGTTGTCTGGAAGATGCATTCACCTGCTTGGTTCTTTCCAGCCTGAGTAACATTTTGTTGAACACTTGGCTGGGAGGGGGCTGTATTGGATCCTGCCAGCCCTCTCCCAGCCTGGACAACCATCTGGGGATTGCCCGGGAGCCAAGTTGATGGGCATTCCTCAGTCTAGACGAACCTCTGGAAACTCTTCAACTTTAGTTTGGGAGGAGGAGTTTACTTGATGATCCTTCCCCACCTTGGAACACCAGCAATTCTTTGGACTGGGTCAAATAGAAGTGTTGTTAAATCTAGAAGGCGTTATCCTTGCCAGCAAATGTCCATGCCCTCGCCAGTATTCACAGTAAAGGATGTTCCAAGAGTATGAACTGAGGAAGTCTTTTTGTTGATAGCGGTCCTGTCAGGCTTTGTCATAGGCCTTCCCGTCAGCCATTGTGAAAAGGCACACCCAGTTGCTAAAGTACACAAATAAGAATCTGAATAAAACCGAAACATTTACAAAGACTCCCCCCCCCCCCCCCCCCAGGAGGAGGAGAATCTAGCCTCTTCTTGGCAGCTCTCCCCACATTCTGGGTCTGACAGTAGGGAAGCTCTTCCAAGATTATTGAGGTAGCTGGGAAGTCTGGGGACCTGCCAATTACACCCAGTTCATCCTGGCATCCCCTCTGTGTGGTGAGCCTTGGGTTTTGGACATAGGATGAGCAAACAGACCTGTGGTGCCCCCACTTGGGGGCGCACCAAAGGTGACGTGGATGCAGAATATCCCGAAGCCTCTTTTCTGAATTTGGGACTGATGTTGGAGAAGGACCAGAATGAAAAGAGCTTCCAGAGAGTCTGCTTGGGTGAAGAAGATAAAAGCAGGGGGTGGCCGGGGAAGGTGAAGTTCCTGGGCCTTGGCCCTTTGTGAGCTCTGGGAGCAGGGTTGGCAGACTCCCCGAAGCTCTTTTCCTTTCCGTCTTCTGAGTTCCCAGGCCTGCTCAAGGCTCGACCTTGAGAATGAAGATCTTCCTCATTGGCAATTTCTAGGGAAGAGACTCTCAGAAAGAAGGAGGCGGTCCCTCTTCCCCCTGAAAGTTTGGAAAAGCAGGCACTCTCCTGAGAGCAGCAGAAAGCTGTTTCAAAGAGCCCGTTCGGATAAAATGTGGGACTCTCATCCTGCTCTGACTTTGGCTGCAAATGTTATTTGTAACAAAGGACTCTCTTAAGTCATCTGGGTTTCAGAGAAATGTAATCGTGCTGTAAAAATAAATCTTCAAAAAGGTTGGTATCTTTAAAAATTAAAAAAAAATGTAATTGGTAGCTTTGCTTAATTATATATTGCCCAAATAATAGCATTTCATTGGACATATCTCTGCTTAAAAATGAAGGTAAAACTATTTGTCCGTTGTATTTGCAATTTCCCTCTTCTTCTTTCTCCTCTATGACTTTGAATTAACAATACACGCTTTGTATATTTGGCTTTGGAACTGTGTGTATGTTACATGCAGTTATAAAACAAACCAACTTTTTATTCACAATGTGAGCACAATCCTTAAAAATCAAAAGCAGAGTGGCACAAGTGAACCTCATTATCAAGTTGGCAGCTTACTTACACAGAGGGGTCTTAGTTTTATGTCTTGAATGAGGTGACTTTAATTAGGTGATTTTATT